GCACATTGCTCGTCAAATAAAATAAATAAATAAATCTGAGTAGCCTTCCCAGACCCAAGTCGGACTTTGCGGGCGGCGGGGCACACGCCACTCCTGCGCGTTCCCGCCAGCATCCGCAGCGGCTGTGTCRGGAGCGGGTCACGGCACGCATGGGACAAGCCCTTGGCGCTCCCCTCCGCGGGCGCAGCCTCCAGCCCAGCTGTCCCTAAAAGTCCCTGCTGTTACAAAAGGCCCCTCCAGGCTGAGCCCAGGCACTCTGTGGGGCAGGTAAGCTCAGACCCCACACCGCACAGCAAGGACAAGGGGAAGGTTCCACTGGGTGCTTAAAAAGCCTGTTCTTATTATGCAAACTTTAAATGGGATGTTTAGGGATTCAAAGTGCGGCTCCCCGTGGCGAGCAGCACCTTGTCCCCTCTTGGCGTCCTCCCCTGTCCCAGGGAGGTGCGCGGGGCAGGTGGCCCTCGCTCCGGGACACACTCATCTCCTCCGGCTTCTCTCCCAGCTCCGGGAAGAGCACCCGAATCACAGCCCGCCCCACGCGCTGCTCACTGGGACCTCCGTGCGCTGCCAGGCCACGCTGCTCCCAGGCAGGTGTGTGTGACACCAAACCCACCGGGATGCACCCCAGAGACACGGCTGCTCCCTACAGACACTCGAGTTTTCCTCTTTATCCCCTGCTCCCGGGTGCCACCGAACACGGRTGCTCAGAGGCGCCTCGAGGAGCCGGGCCCAGCGCCGCAGCTACCGCCGCAGTTTGATCCGCGCTCAGGGCCCCCGCGGGCCCAACGCACCCGGCCACCAAGGGAGGCTGCCTGGGACAGCGCCGGGGCTGCAGGCACTGCCTTGGTTTGTGTGTGCGTCTTGGGGGTATCTGTGCAGGTGGGAAAAAAGGGGGGGGGGATATTAAAAAGCTTTAAACTTTGTGGATTTGTTCTGGTCTTTTTGCTACCCCCCCCCCCCAAATTATTGAAAATAAAAATAATTCTGCCGTTTCTGCATCTGCAAATTTGCCTAAATTGCCTGTAGTCCAAGACAGTCATGTTCCAACAACGTGCAGGGAAAGGAAAGAAAAAGTGTTGGGTGAGGAGGGGRGAAGTTGAGAAAAAAGAGTAAAATAAAATAAAAGAAGAAGGAAAAATAAAAACGAGACGGACGGGTCCCCACAGAGCTCCCGGCCGCGCCGATGGACCGGGCCGAGATGCGCCGAGCTGAATAGGGCCGAGCCTAACTGAAGGGAAAGAGCCAAACGGAGCTGGGCCGAACGGCGCCGAACCGAATGGAACGAGCCGACCGGAACAGCCCGAAGGGAACGAGCCGAGCGGGGCCGCGGGTCGCCGCGGCTGCAGCYGCGCTCCCCCCTTTCACCTCCCCCCTCTTCCCCGTTTTCCTCCGCTTTTCCCCCTGTTCCGCAGCCCCGCGCGGCCAGGGCACCTCAGCTCGCGGCGGAGAGCGACTTTGCGCCAAGCCCCGCCCTCCCGCCTTTAATAAGAACATATATGTGCGGAGAGGAGGGGTGCGCGGAGGGGCCGGGCACATGGGTACACACACCGCCCATACGCACCCCTGTGCACATACATAGCGTGCCCATAGGCACAGCTGCGTGCGCGTCTATCGGCACTCCAGGAGCGCGCGGGAGGAAGTGGCCAAGGTTGTTTCCCCTCCTTGTGACAAGTTTCCAGGCATCCCAAGGACGTGGGACACGGGGCTCCGGGACGCCGCGGAGAGCAGCGAGCTAGAACCAGCTGCGATTCCTATCAGAGTATTTTTAACACGCTCTTACAAATACTTTGGCATACGCCTGTCCCACTCCTTTTAATGACGTTGACTTCATTTCCTTTAATACGGGGGGGAAAATGCTACACCAACAAAACCTAATTAAGTTAATAGGAAGAAACAATAATAAATAATTCCAGTCGCATTGCTGCTGGGCTGCAAAACAGGGGCCCAGGCACTTCCCTGCTGGAGTGCAGCAGGTCACAGGGGGACACAGCCCCGTGCTGCTCCGCTTACTGCCATCTCCTGCCCCTTGCAACCCCCATGCAGTGCAAGCATGCATCTGTGCAGGTGCACAGGTGCTTGCACAGCTGCACATGCATGCATGTGTGTGTGCATGCCTGCAGTTGCAGATGTGCATGCATGTGCATGCACACACAGGATGGAGCATGCATGGACCTGCACAGGCTTTCTCTGTGTGGGCATATGTGCATATATATGCATGCATGTGCCTGCATGTAGTGTATGATGTGTGCCTGCACATAGGCATGTGTGTGTGTGTGCACAAAAGTGTAGGTGTGCACATGTAGATGCACACATTCATGCATGTGTGTGTTTGCAGGCAGCAGCACCTACATACACAGTAGCGTGTGCATCTGCAGCACAACATGCAGCAATGCACATACAGCAGTGCATGCCTGTGCTGGGTGTGTGCTGCACTATGTGCATATGTGGTGTGTAGCAGTGTGTGTGCACGTGTGTGTGCAGCAGTTTGCAGCAGCGTGTGTGTAGCAGTGTGAGTGCAGCAGTGTGTGTGCAGAAGGGTATGTGCAGTAGTTCACATGTAGCAGCGTGTGTTTGCACACACATGTGTTCATACAGCAGCATGTCTGTGTGTGTGCACGTGTGTAGCAGTGCTTGCTGCAGGGTAACAGTTTCAGAGTGTGTGCATGCAGCGCATGTAGCAGTGTGTGTGCACAAGTGTGCAAGCATGCAGCAGTGTGCAAATGCACCACAGCATGTGCAGCAGTGTTTGCAGAGCAGTGCGTGTGCACAGCAGTGTGTGCACAGCAATGTGCGTATGCACAATGTATACATGCGAGTGCACAATAGTGTGCATGTATATATGCTCACAGCAGTGTGCATTTGTGTATGTACGCATATGTGTATGTGTATATGAATATATATAAACCTATGTGTGTGCGCTTTTATAGGTATGTATGTGTATGTATTTATAGGTATGTATGTGTCTGTATAGGTATGTATGTGGTGTATGCATATGTATGTATAGGGTGCATGTATATCTGTATGCATAGGTATGTATGTATATGCATGTATGTGTGCATATCTGTAGATGCATGTGTGCGCATGTGTGTACATGTATGTGTATACATGTATGTGTATGCGTGTCTGCACATGTATGTTCGTGCACGCGCGTGTGCGCGCGCCCGCTGCGGCCCGTCCCGCGCGGCGCTCCCCGCGCTGCGGCGCCACCTGGAGGCCAGAGCGCGACGCCGCCCGCGAGCGCCCCCGCCGCCGGGCCGGGCTGGAACCGGGTCCCGAACCGGGTCCCGAACCGGGTCCCGAACCGGGTCCCGAACCGGGTCCCGAACCGGGTCCCGAACCGGGTCCCGAACCGGGTCCGGGGCTTCGCAGCCAGCCCGGAGGACCCCGGCCTCCCGCTCCCCGCCAAGGAATCCGCGTGGAGAAGGACGGCGGCGGCGGCCAAGGCCCCTGGGAAGGCATTGCTCGCTACCGGCAACCCGGCTTCCCAAGGAAACCGGCAGCCCCCATCCATCAGTGTCACTTCTCAATGGTGGCTCTGTTTGCCACGGCCTGCAGCGATTGGGAARAACTTCCAGCACCCGAGTCCCGCCCACGCGACCCGCTTTATCCGCCTGCAGACGAGGATGCTCCCGCTCGCATCCAAACGAGGCTCTGCGGGAGGTGCAACACGCTCCGTCCGTACAGCGAGGGATGGCTGCGGTATCCAAGACCTGGAACGCCCTAGGGTGGACCAGGTAGAGCCGACGGCTTCTGCCCCCTCCACGTGCTGATTTTCCCCAACTGCTGATGGGGCCTATCCAGCCCGAGCCCCGAGAAGCGGGGATTGCTCCTCCATCCTCATCCTTCCCGCCAGCCCTGTGAGCAGAGCCATCCCGGATGGAGTCCGGTGCCCAGGGAGCCTCCAGGGCGCCAGTGGTTGTAATAACTCCTGGGATGGTTTTCCTGTGCCCCATCCAGAAAGCTCTTTTCACCCCAAACGGGGTGGTGCACATGTGCGTGAAATTTGGCAAGGGGCTCCCCACAAGTACCCACGGGGTGCTCACCTCGCCGGGCCAACACGAGTATCTACCCGCCCGCCCGCCGCAGCTTTTTTTTTTTTTTTAACCCGTGTAATAAAACAGGACGCTAGAGGGCGGCCTTTTAATGCGATTCAGTATCGGCGCCGCGCTGCGCTTAGCGCAGCTCCGGCTCCCGCACCGGCACCAGCCTGGGCGCAGCGGCCGTTCCCCTTGGAAAACGCCTCGCAGACAGACGGGCCGGGCCGGGCCGGGCCGCACGGCGCCGCTGGCCGAGCGCGGGCAGCCTCCGCAGCCTCGCTCCGCAGCCTCCTCCCCGGCGCTGCGAGGCCCGCGCGGATAAACCACAAGAAGTTCACATCAAAAATAGGGAACGGCCTCGACCGGCCGGCACCGAGACTGCCCTAGGGCCTGAAGTCACACTTGGAATGAACTTAAATTAGTGGCCGCTTTTCCCAAAAATGATGTTCCTTAGCATTTAGCAATAATGCAGCCTCAGTTCTTGCTAAATTGCAAACGAGCAATTAATTTTTTCAGCACTCGTGCAGAATACTTTAAAAATGGAAACATGAAAGTCTTCTATTAAAATGAAGTTGATAGTATGCACCTGCCACTAATGTACTGTACACTGTGTCTTCCACTCATTATAGTGATGATTTGGGTTGAGATCAAGAGTCATATAGTGAAAATCACTTCAACACGTGCCTGTTCATATGCATAAACTCCTGTGTACCAGATGGCAAAATATAATGACATCTTAAACAGCTAATTGCATAAACCTTGTAATGCAGATAATTGCTGAACCAAAGTATGAGTTAATAATTTCCCACTGTATTGCCTGGCTTGACACTAATTCTAAAGGAAAGTTGTGACAATTCGAACACACTAAAGTTCACCAAGCGGTAATTAAAACTAGCACTTAAAATCATTCGACTTTCAAACCGTTAATTACCGTTCAGGAGACTCGCTTGGTACAACTCTAACCTTTAGAGACAGCTTCGCGACAGCCGCTTTCGTCGCTGTCCCTTTCATGGGGCTCTCCCGCGTGGGCTGCGGGACGGCCGGGTCCATCCCTGCAAGTCACAAGTTCCAGCAATTCCCTTGCAAACCCTTGGAAAAAACAGTGGCCTGCAGCAGGAGTGGACACTTGCACACTGTTTTATCCCACAGCTGGTGCTTAAGGTGTCACAGCAAGTGGTTATTTCAACCACATAAACGCACATGAGCACCAGGCCACTACAACAAAGCACGCTGCGTTCCCAAGGGTGGGAGCAAGAATTGCAGTGTTTTGCTTAGGTTTATAACTCACGTGGTGACCTCAAAGCCCGGTCTCTAACACAGCATTGGCTGCCACCACATATTGGAAGAGCTGCCATGGGATTAAGTAATAAGGAATATGTAATTAATGATGGTAAATACAGCTTTAGGAGAAGTAAGCCTTATCAGGAGACTCAATTTCTTTCTTTGACAAGGCGCATTAAATAATATGATGAAGGTAAAGACTGAACGATAAAGGTCAATGAAGAGATGTGATATTCACATTTTATGGAGATTAGAATTAACACTGTGTGATATTCTGATCAAAAAACATTAGAAATAGCAACAGAGCATGCACTAATTAGATTAAGATTTGGCTAACAGCCTGTTAAAAAGTAGCTATGAATCAGGAAGCATTATCAAACAGGGGAGTTTTACCAGAATCAGCATTGGGTCAGATGCTAGCCCGTGTTTTCCTCAGTGATCTGAATGCAAACACTGTAAATTCACAGCTGATGAATCCGAGGATGACAAGGACCTTGGTGGAGTGACAGCCAGTGATGAGAACAAGACGCTCCGAGTGATCCCACTCGCCTGATGAGCGCAGCCCATTCACACACAATTGGTTTTAATACAGACAATGTACGATTACGCCGCTCTGGTTCTTACAGTTTTTAAAGATGGTTGGAAGAGTGGAGAGGGTGCAGCAAAGAGCCACGGAGCGGATTCAAGGGCTGGAGAAAGTGCTTAATGGTGAAAGGCTTAGAGCACTCKATCTGCCTTGCTTACACTGCGGGGAGGACGGAGACGTGCCGCGCATGTAACGCGCCAGCAGCTGAGCATCCCCGTGCAAGGACCTGCTGGAAACCAATGGTGTTTTTAATCTCCTGGGTGCAAAGGGACCCCTGCAAGCCAGAGGCACCCAAGTGCAGGTGAGAATTTAGGTGAACATACTTAGCAGCAAGGCTGAGCAGCAGCTAACTAATTCTCATGGTGCAAAGTGTTTTCTTGTGATATTTTCAAAGCAAGACTAGAAGACCCGCTGCATCTGAACACAGGGTAATGCATTTAATGCAGGGCAGTTGTCCACAGTGAGCCACTGCGTATCGCAGGGCTCTTTCTGTGGCTCTACATACACCAGYGGAAAGGTTTCATAAGCATTTGGAAGCAGGAGCCTGGGGAAAGCACTGATCAGGTAGTGACAAGTCTAATACATTTCCTGGGCCTTACAGACCCAGTTCAGCTACACAGATATATCTATAGTAATAGATTATTACTATAATAGTAATATTACTAGATTATTACTATAAATAGTATATCAATAGTAATAGATTATTGTCAAAGATAGACCTCAAGATCCTGTATGAGCTACAGGAAACCACTGAAATGCAGCCCCTCAACAGGGGATGTGTCACTTGCAGCCTCTTCCACATGGCCAGCAGAGCAGCTCCCCAAACACACACACTCTGCAGGTCATCTTTGCACCCTACAAACTGCTCCCCGCCACCCCTGAGAGCCACCACCACCCCCCAAAGCCTCTGCAGCATGGCCACGAGGGCAGCTTGGTGCCGCAGGAAGAGGAACAGGAACCTCACGCAGCTCCCTCGAGCTCTGGCATGTTCTTGAGGGTGCCCACATAAGCTCGGACTTAGCAGTTCTGCCTGCCCTGAAAAATCTGCCAGCCCATGACACAAGCCAGGCGAATTCTATAAATCCCAAAAACACAGACTGTTTCTGTGCAGGAGGTCAGAGCAAAGGCGCTCACCACAGTCCCTCCTGCCCTTAAGAACTATTTATATTTCCCAAAATATAAACTACCAGGTGCCTATTGTTACCAAGTTTCCACACAGATGCGTGCAGATCCAGTATGGAATATTTTCACACCCAGGTCTTTTCCTGCTGCTCCGAAGCCTGCCAGCCACCTCTGCTGCAGACTGGCAGCCCTCTTCCCTGTGGCAGCAGCCCCAGCAGGTACCACTGGAAAGACCCAATATTTTTTCCCCCCCCCAGAAAGCATGCACCAGCGAAGACATCAGCTTTGCTGGTCATGATACTTGCAGTCTCTACTAAGTGCCCTGCATCCAATCTTAGCTCGGGTAACCGGGTCAAACCCTACAGAGCAGCTGCACCCACTAGAGCTGATCAGTGCAACAAGCTGATGKTGGCAAAAAGCTGGTTGTCCCGTGCGTGCCCAACTCCTAACATTTATCCGAGACAGCTCTTCAACCATCTATAGCAGCGGGGCTGCAGCCCGGGGTCTGCCTTCCCTCCTTGTGTGCTCACACCCCAGCAAGCACGAGGCACCCACGGCTCTCAGAGCAGCCTGATCTTTAGGACAGCTTCAGCACACACCTCTAGGAAACACAGGCACTGTGTTTGCTGTCCCCAAGTAAATCAGGAACGTCTTGGATGGTGTTTGAGGCAGCTGCCCCACAGCTACAGCAGCCCCTCGGTGTAAGAGACACTGATAATTCAGCACCATAATCCAAAGCAAGGAAGGAGCTGCTGAGCAGCATGATTCTGCGCTACGTTAGATGTCAAAAGTCAGGTGGCACAAGGAAATTGTTCATGATAGCAAGGCCTGGACTAGATTGGAGTTAGGTAGGGATTGATTCCGTAGCTGCTGACCTGCCTTTTGGGCTTGCAGCGATGCTGGTAATTAACTCTAGGCAGGAAATTGTACCACTGATTGACTCATCAGCATAAAATGAATCACAAGCTGAAATGATTTGCTGAAAAGGACATAATCTGAGGAAGTTCTTTATCTTTGAAACAAATAATAGATCCAGGACGAAGAGATATGATGGGGGGGGGAACCTATTTCTCAATCTATGAACACAAATGGGTCTTCCTCTTTTCTTTCAATACAAAGTGTCCTGAGGTAGATAAACTACCATATAATTTAGATTTTCTAGATTTCAATTTCTAAAGGATAATCTCTCTTTTTAGTCTGCAACATTATTTTCTGCTAAACATTTCTAGATATTTATTATATCAATGCCTATGCAGAGGCAAAACCAATCTCTGACAACAACGTTTATCAAAAGAATAATCAATACATAAAATGTCACTTGCATTCTGGGTTTTAGTATTAAACACAGCTGAAGTTCACCTAAGCAGCATTCATCATAATTCAAATAGTATCAGTACTAATATATATTTGCCAAATATGAACATAACTCTAAGTTCTCCTACTTGGCCTCAGTTGTATTTTCATCTCCTCCCCATTTTCCTTCAAGAGGTTTTCAGGTGACCCAGTCAGCCACAATGTCTTAGCTTCTCCTAAAACTGCATCCCAGTTTCCGCTACTCATCTTAARTGTCCTGGTGTCCAAAAGCATCCAAAATACCTCAACAGATTTGTGGACAGTCCAAGAAGATGTTCTGGGAAGAGACTGGGCCCCCAGGCTGTGGAGCATTTGCACTTTGCCACCAGCCTGACACAATAGCTTTATGAATACAGGATCATCYAGGAAGTGGAATCAGCTCAGAATCGGTGAAAATCACTGGAGATCTATCACTTCTCCAGCTCAACATCTGGCAACTGATTTTGTTTACCTTGCCTAATTTGCCTTTGATTTCTAAGACCCTAAGGCACTTAGAGATCAGAAAACAGTTCAGCCTATTCCAGTAAGGAATGTAGCTCTCCCAGCACCAGTCTCCAGTCATTCTTTCCTCACCTCTGTCRGCACATGTAATTATTTGCAGGTGCCAAGGGGAACACAAATTGCAGTCACACACACAGCACACCGAGTGCTTTGRCCAACAGGGACCCAAAAAGCTTCTGTTTATCTTGATGAACAGGTTAGTTATTGGTTCAAATGACCACRGGAAAGATGATTTTGAAGGATAAGAACTTCCCTTCTCAGTCATGGATTCTTTCTGCCTCAGGCTGTTCCAGAGTGATGTTCTGAGAAGTCTGGACCAAAACCTGAAGCTGCTAAGATGTACACAGATGTATCCGAGTCTGCAATGCCTTGCTTTCAGGTGACTGAAGTCACTGACAGGCACCAGAACAAGGAACAAAAATCTGTGCTCGTGATTACAATTAGACCTGATTTACATGTACTATTTACTTATCATCCACTCCACATCACACCAATTTGGTTCTTAACATGGGTGCTTATCACCATGCTAAAACCCTCCAGCAATGATTACCGTCTGCTCTGTTAATTGAAGTTTTCACTGTTTGTTAYACCTGTTTATGGGTAGCTGTGAGGAAAGGTTCTGTTCTTTCATCTAACAAAATGTAAATAAAAACAGTTCTTTCCAAATTAGGATGGGATCTGAACAAGACAGTGGTTTCAGGTATAAACCTTAAGATTGCCTGGAGAAAATTTCAGAGATTGTGGTTGCCCAGCACCAGAGCAAAACTTATAGAAGCTTTTTTTTTTTAAAAAAAAAGGTTTTTTTTTTTAAGTCATGTCTTGTTGGTGAGACCTTTCTGCCTTTTCTTTTGTATGCAAAAATTACAGGAACTTATTTATGCAACTGCAATGGTCAGTGCTCTGAGGAGCAAGGAGAGATTTTTGCAAGTTTTACTCTAATGGGAGCTTAATTTTGAAAGCAAAGGTATCCAGGACTCCTCAACCTGGGCCCTTTTCAGTTGCATCATGCTGGGACCCTAAAAACTGCAAAGCTCAGAGATACCAGCCCCTTCTGCAATTCTCGGCCCCTTTTTAAAGGCTAAAATCTCATTTGCTAATTACTTGAAGGAATAAATTCTAATGCTGCTTTGTTATTGCTATTGCTTTTAACCTCGATACTTGCCCCCTCTTGAAAATACCAGGTTTATCCATAGCATTCTTCAAGGCT